AAAAGGAAATTAAATTTGGAACCAAAATATATAATTATATTTGATATTATTATGCAAGTTTTAAAATTATTATAATTGGTATAAATGAGAATTATAATTATAATTATTACTCCATGGAGCAACCCATGGAGTATTAACCCAGTACATTTAACCCGGGTTGGGTTGGGTTAACCCTTGCTCCACAATGATATGAACCCAACCCAACCCATTATGTTCCATTAACAACCCTACTCGCACTATAGGAAATTTTCTGCTCAAACTTGTTCTGATTTCCATTACCTAATAAGTATTGTACATCAAGGAACAGGAAACAAGAACAGAACAACTTTGAATGCCCTTACTGACTTCTGATAATGTTATTTGCCATTTCTATTTTGCATCATAAGTAGTTATCCATCCACAAATGGTTTGGAATTTTGTTTGTCAATTTCATTTTTGTCAACTTCTCCAACTAAAAAGAAACTTATAAACTTGTAATTTGTACAGATCATATGGTTTACATCACTTTTTGACCATGTTACTGATTTTTTTCAAAGCCCAGCCTTTATAATAATAAAGTTTAAATGTTATCGAACTAAAATTAAAACAAATTTCATTTGCAGAGTGAATTAAGCATTATTAGTTCATCAATTAACATCTGATCTATTATCAGAAAAAATATAAAACATACTCTGCATATAAATATGTAAGGTTGTAAGTAAATAAGTTTATACAGACTGGAATTTGCAATTGCGTTTACTTCATTGACAATCACTTCGTCGACAGTTCATTTCGTCGACAGTTCATTTCGTCGACAGTTCACTTCGTCGACGATCACTTCGTCGACAGTTCATTTCGTCAACAGTTCATTTCGTCGACAATCATTTCATTGACAAACACTTCACTGACAGTTAGTTTAGATGTGATGATAGTGGTATTGTCGCTGGCTATTTTGGTGATTATAATAATCGATGATAATTATTCTTTTTAATATTGTGAATCAGACAAGTTGAAAATACGCTGATGAATAGTATTGAGATTTCGTTTGAAAATTCAGGAAATATTTATTCTTCTGATGATATTCTTTTCAAGATGCATGAATTTCGTCCAATTTTTCTTTTCATCTAAATTTCCTGATGCTTCTGAAAACATGATTCCTAGATTCAATCAGGATTAATAACTAAACAACCTATATTAATAATTATAATCAATGTGTATGTTATGCTAAAATCGTATGAACTGTCGACGAAATGAACTGTCAATGAAATGAATCAGACCCATCGGCCAATATCATATTTGAATATATTTCCGTCTTTCGGCCATCTCCAAGCAAACCAATTTGAAATTCCAGACAATGACTTAACATTAACATCTTCCATTCTGTTTTGTTGTAAATTAGCTACCCTCAAACACCTTTGATGGTGTTCTCATTATCTGGACAATGATACAAATTAAAACCAATCTTTTTATTGCACGAGCAATCTAACTAGTTTACAGTGCATTTGATTGGTTTTTAAATTAGAAATTCGATTTTATTTCATTTTAAATCATTCAAATTAAAAATCATAAAACAATTACATCCCATCTTCAAATGGTAATTCAGTTGTATAGATTATGAATTTATAAAGGTTGTGATTTAATTGCCCAATAAATTGAAGGTTGTTATTGAAAAATTAGAAACCAAATATATGCTATTAAGGTTCTGAACGGATTGTATTATTTCGGAATGATTTGAACATGGATTAATGTCAGTTTCCAAAGCTTGAGAGTTTTGTAACTGTGTAAAGTAAAAAGGATTCGTCATAAGTCGAAACTAGTTTTGACTTTCGCTTCTTCAAAACGGTTTTGGCGACAAACACTGATATTAATATGAACCACAATCAGACGACATTTCACGCGATCGACATGTAGCTATGTAGAAATTTGTGCAACATGTCAATTTTTACGAAGAACTTTTTCATTTGTCACTAGTTATACTCACCAGAAACGTTATATGTATTCTTTGAGTTATATTATCTTCTTGCAAAATTATAACTATGATTTACTAAAAAAAGGCAAAGAATTACTTAATAAAACATAAACAAGAAACCATAATTTGATTTTTAGAAATATTATTACAACATTGGGTTGGTGAGGCGTAGACAATGGAAACAAGGTCAACTTCTATGATCCCACATCTCAAATGTATAATTTCTTAGTAAATAATATAATTCTTTACTAATAAGTTTTGTTTCTAAGATCAGAATAGCTTATGCTAAATTATTGGAAGAGTTCTTTTATCAATAGAAAAATTCATTTTATATTTTTTACTCATAAAAGACAATGCATATATATCTTTTAATTCAACTAGAATAGTGAATTTTGGATTAACTATACTACCACCATAAAAACAGCCTTATGGATGGATATATTTACGTCTAAGAAAACTAAAGGTAATAGTAATAATTTAATAGGCTAAAAGGACTCTCACTACATTAATAAATGAATATATTTAATATTGTTTTTTTTATTATATGAGTCAGATCTGAAGTAAAAAAATAATTCATCCAACACATATAAGCATAAATCAGAGCAGAAGGTCATCCTAATAGTGGTATTTTCATTTCAATCAGTTCAGTATTTTATTAATTAATCAAAATTTAAAAAAATCAAAGTATTTTAACACGAGCAGTTGATGTTTTAAATTGTTAACGATCTTTAAAGTCTACATAATAACAATATATGGTTTTTTAGTATGACGGATGATGGAACTTCAACTTTCTAATGAATACAAGATCGTCAATTTATTCCAAAAATTAAAATATTAACAGCAAATATTAATTTATCAATTATAAGTGTAAATTGGCTGATATTTTAAATTATCAATAAACATTAAAATTTTCATAACAACAAACAACAATATGCAATTTTTTATTATGTTGAATAGTGTATCTTTAGCTTTCTGATGAGTAGTAAGATCATTCATTAAATTTGGCCAAGTATTATTAATTTTAATGATTAATGAAAAAAAAAATTTTTTTTTCATTTAATTTTTATATCGGGAAAAATTATAAGGACAGAAACTACAAACTGATATAAATTCAATTTCGTTTTCATTTGTTAATAAAATTTTTATTATATACAGAAATATTATCTAAAGATCTATTACATGATTCATGAACATCCAGTAAAGTTAAAGATTACTGGTATAATAATATGTAGAAATAAATTATAACGTTAACGTAGAACTCAGTGAGATCACAAACTTCTTTTATTTGGTGGTACATTGTTCAGCCATATAATCATTTGGAACAATTTTTTCATATCTATATAGTTACTTTTTAACATGCAAACAAATAATCAATTAAATATCGACAAAAAAAAATAATATTGAATATATTCATTAAATTCATTTAATACAATTTTCATATTTAATAGTTTTCTTTTTTATTATCTGTTCATTCAATTTTGAGATTGTTGTGTTTTTCTCATTTTTTGTCATTAATTCATACTATCTTAAAAATTCTTCACAATAAAAATAAATAAACGAAGCTTTAAATTTAAAGATTATTATCACCTATATATAATAATAATAATAAAAATTGATTATTAATTTATTAAATTGATAATAAATTAAGAATATTAATCAATATATTAAAAGTATTTTTTCTTTCTAACCTTTTGAGTAGAAGAAACTCCAATTAAAATATTGTGTTTTCATACACTGTCTCATCATTATTAATATAACAAAAGTTAGAAAACAATAATGCGAAGAAAAAATTATTAAAAAGTTCTTATAATAATAAATAACTTATAAACCGTTTTTTGCTTTTAATTTCTTCCTTCTCCAAGAAACCCATACAAACCATATGTTTTCTGAAAGTTCTCGATGTAGCTAAAACGATCTTAATAGGGCTGATTTCCGAAAAGAATTAAGCTTTTGAAGCCAAAAATCATAGGTTTCTTTGAGAGGCCATTACTCATAACCGGAAGAGCTACAGACGCATAAAGCTTGCGTTTTAAAGGTCAAAGATGCGTGATTGTTTTTACAAAAATTGAGTTTATTTTCAATTCATTAGTCAAATCCGTTGTGTCATGTCGATCATATATTAAAATCAGTGACTGTGAAATGTCGTCCGACTCATCACCCTTTGACCTAATCCAGATTGATGGATAATATTTAATTATTATTATATAGTTGCATGGCGCAGGTCTCTTAAACCATCAATTTTTACACGTGATATTTGAAAGAATAAAAGTCGCTTTCTATCCTACCTTTTAAAGATTAGGATCTAAACTTTATCGTGACAGAGGAGTTTTTTGAAATATTCATCCTTTTTAGTGTATGTATTGCGTTATGCTCGTGAGGAATTTGGTTATGGAATCTTGATTAAATTCATTATACATATTTCCAAACTAAGGCATCTTGAAATTATGAGCTGCTACAGACTTAAAAATAAAAAAATTATGAGAAATTATACACGTATGTCTGAACAATGTTCATCTAGATCTCAGAATAGTTAGAAAACTTAGCAATACAGCACTTATTAATATTGCTCATCCATACCCTAACCTGAAATATCTCAATATCCGTTGAAATGGAAGAATAATCGATATGTCCATCCGTGTGATTGAACAGTCGTGTCATAGGTTAGAGTGTCTGCACATCGCCCATTGTAAGCTCATTAACAAATCTTCCGCAAGATTGCAAAATTGTGTCATAGACTACAATATCTGAATATCTAGGTGTATCGTCGATGAATCTATCTTCAAAATTGCACGGTTGTGGTTATTTTCAATGTATCACCAATAACTCTATACGTGCACCTACACATTTGAATCTCAATCTGCAATCATTAGATATTGACAGAAGTAAAAAACTTACCGATACAACTATTTGTAATTTCACACATTTATGTCGAAATCCAAAATGTTGAAACTTAAATGCTGCAGGGCACTAGTGTTGCATCTATTAAAGAGATAGCACACTCGTGTCATAGTCTACAATATCTTGAACTTGGCGGATTCTATAACCTCAACGATGAGACAATACGTGATATTCTCCATTCCTATATCAATTTCTGTCACCTTGATTTCACGAATTGCAAATATAATACTGACATTGTTATCAGAGAGATAAAGCAGTATACTGGAACATTTAAATGTCATTCAACCATCGATATAGCTACCTGCAATATTGCATGTTCGTGTTCAAATCCAGCCATCTAGATATTGGTGCGTGTGATCTCATTACGGATATAAAATCGCGTGTTCGTACTTTAACCTGAATACCTAGATCTGAAACATTGTGAAATGTTACCAAAAATCGTTAGTCAAATGTTGAAATAAATGGCGATCATGTTCATCCATGGGTTAATACTGATATGGGATCTGAAAGTGAAGGTTCGTCTCCTGAATGATTCGCAATAACCGGTCGATGATTATCCCGTCATCCTTTTCTGGGCATGAACAAAGATGAGCTGATGGGAGGACGTACGAGTTATAGAGCAACAACACCACCGTGACTTGCTTTGATTAATGGCGTTACCGATCGCCCATATAAAAGACGCTTAATTGATGCACGTCAAAATTTCTGAGATCGTCCATAGAAAAAACACATTTTTGACTATAATAATATAACCGATTTCTGTTCTTAATCCGCGATTGATTTTCTATTATTCGAATAAAGAGGTTAATGTATTCTTTGGAACATGTAAACATTACTTCACGTTTTATCGGAGTGAAGGCATAAAAGAGGTTATTGATTACGCAAGTTAATTGAGTTATTTTTTCTATATAGTATTATACTAACTTATTCCCATCGGATCTAATATCCCAAGGACATTCATTCATCGTTTGATGATCCGGCTAATGTGTTGTATGGGAATGGAATAAGGATATGATATCTCAAGGTATGTTTCTTTTGTAAACCATCATCCTGGATATAAGTGAAATGTATAATCTTACCATTCTTCATTAGCAGGATCAAATCGATATTCCTCTACAAGTAGTGTATCTGTAAGGCAGTATTCAGAATACCCTGATGAAATCGAAACTCTTTGAGTGCAATTTACAACCCTCTTAATTAAAGAAGAAAAGAGAAGCATTTCCCTACTAATATATAATGTATTATCTGAAGAGATAGGTCTTAGTTCTAATATGTTAGTCATTTTTTATCGTCTGCCAGAACTAGAGAAAAAGAAGAGATAAATCAATTGTTGGTAGTAGCAACAATAGCAAAAATGATGATAGTAATATAATAAATAATAATGTTATTTTCACTAACAGAAATGAATGATAATCACGAACCCAAAGAATACTCTTTTGAGGCAAACTTTGGATCTGACTGATTTCTCCATGCGAGCTCGCGTTCACTCTACTTTTCTACGTTATTTTTATGTATCAAATGATAAAAATAATTAAAACTCATTTGCAATCAATTACTTAATTATCAACCTCATCCATTGATATACGAGTAAAAATACCCAATAAGTCTTCCTAAAAAGTTTTCATTTTTTCATTTTGTTTAAAACATGGAAATAAACCCGTTAGCATTATCAGTATTACAATAAACACGCCAACTTAGACTATATTAATATAGATACCGGTTCATCCGAAAAAAATATTTTGTTGATCGTTAATTCTCACAATCAATCGCATCGCATAGAATATGAATGCTATTGGGGAACATGCAACAAAGAATATTTTTCATATGTCGCCGTGACAAGACTAGGTTTCACACATGGGGTCTGGACAATAGAAAAAGACCATAACGTGAAAAAACCAAATTTGAACTAACGCCATTCCTATATGTAACTCTTTGTGTAGAACATTCTTGGCTTAGAAATTATGTCCACTTTGCATAAATATTATTCTTGAAACTTTCAAAACATCATTTTCCTTTTTTATTGTCTAGACTCACATGTGATGTCAATAATGGAGTTTTTTCATCTGGGAACTAGGACTATTTTAGACAGTATTTAAGTCTTTTCAATTTCGCTTGAAACGACAAAACTTTTTGTACTCTATTCAAAAAAAAAAAACTGGCATATCACTAAAAAAAAAAAAAAAAAAAAAAAAAAAAAATGCAAAAATACAAAGTTGGAGGTACGTTTCATCATTTCGCCTTCCATACCAGTTTTTTTCGGTTGCACGCACTAATATTATCATTTCTCCATTAATCAGATAATATCGAATACATACAACCTTCCGAACCCGATGTTAAGAAAAAGGGCATCATTAAAAAATTGGTCGGTGATGACTCCTACTCTGTCGATCCCAAAGATAAAACTCGTACAATTGGTAATAAAACCAAATTCGACTTAGATTAAACATATATTGAATGTTTGTTAGTAATAGTTAATAAACGTCTAACTTTTGATAAAACTGCCATCTTAACAAAATGTTTAAATTCATTTTTTTACCCATGTACTTCATTTTTCCTAATACGAGTATTTCAAATTAAATTCTGTTATATTTTTATTCTTTATTTGTACTCAAGTCGTCAAAGAGAGGAATGTCATTGGCATTGTCAAGACTACTACATAAACCAACACCTGTTCCATAATCGAAACTCGCGATAGTAGAACCTTTTTCAATTTTTTTTATTAAATCTTTTATAAGAACGAATTCTTTTATGTTTATTCACACGATGTAACTGCAATATGCATTTTTTATTTTTCATTCATCTATTATGTATGTTAGCTAAGTCATAAAAATAATAAAGTTTATCGTTTGATCAAATGTTATTATCTAATTCCATAGCAATATCCATTTCTTTGAAGGTACTTCTTGATACTACACTCATTCATATCGTTGTCTTCTTTGAATATAGTTGAATGTCCATAAACGAAAGACGTTGCATTATTTTTTGATACGTGAGATGAGAATATCTCATTTTCTTTACGGCCATGATTTTCTTTTTCAAGTATATAATATAGTGCCCACCTTCAACGTATATAACTTCTTTGTGAAATTCTAAGAAAGTCATAAATATGATTCTCGTCAATGATATGATTATACTTGTCCCGATTTTGATATTGTAAATGGTGAATTTCCCATAGTCGTGCGTAGCAACAATAGCAGAACTTGTGATAGTAATATAACAATATTATTTAATAAATCGCGAGTCCAAAGAATAGGAATGGTATTCTCTTTTCGAGACGAACTTTGAATTTAGCTGATTTCTCACATACAAAGTTCACGTTTATTTTATTTTTCTATATCAAAATTATAATAAAAATAATTAAAACCTTTTATTCATCTATCTGTAATCAATGTCTTAATTATTTATATCATGCAGAAAAATTCGCTTGAGGAACATAGGTGTTCGATTAACTACGCAGTTATAAGTGAACTGGTGTACGGATTAACAAAACAAAAATACCCAGCGATCTTTCTAAAAAAGGCAAAAATGGTCATTTTGTGTCAATTTTTAAGTTTTTAAAGTCATCCTGATTTGTTAGTATTACTATAAACATTCCCATTTTAGACTATATTAATATTAATATAGATACCGGCTGGTTCATTCGGGAAAATTTTTTGTTGATTGGTTCCCAAAATTAATCATTCGCACAAAACATGAATACTATTGATGAACAAAGAATAACTTGAAATTGAGGGATATATTATTGTGAATATATTAATATATTTTTCATATGTCGCCATAAAAAGACCAGGTTTTACACGTGGGAATCTGGACAATAAAAAAAGACAAACGTGAAAAAAACAATTTTTGAATTAACGCCATTTCTATATGTAACTCTTGATGTAGAAAATTTTTGGGTTAGAAATTATATCCACCTTGCATAAATATTGTTTTTCAAAATTTCAAAAAAAAATAGTAAATACTTGAAATTAGATAGATATGTTTCTCAAAACATCATTTTCATAATATGATCCTTTTCTATTTAAGTCTTTTCGATTTCCCTTATAACGACAAAACTTTTTGTAAGAAAAAAATAATTTCTGACATATTAATATTTTATTATCTAGATACAATATTGAGCGGTACGTTTCATCACTTCGCTTATTCCACCTTCCTCCGGCAGTTTTTTTCAGTTTTATGCACTAGTGACATCATTTTTGCCATTCCTCAGAGAATGTTGTGTAAAAAAGAATCAAAATAGCACCATCACAGTATTAGTTGGAGAGAATAGTTACTCTATCACCGTTATTCTCGAGCCTAAGGATAATAATAATGCCGTTGATAAGAAAACCAAATTTGAACATATAATAAACGTTTGTTAAGATGTATAGCTTTAATTAATAAAGGTCATGCTTTTGGTAAACCGTCATCTCCCGCTACGAATATGTCAAATTAAACTTTGTTATTTTTTATTCTTTATTTGTACAAGTCGTTCCTGAGAAAAATATCATTCACAAATTATAATAAAGTAACACCTGTTCCATAATCGAAACTCGCCTTTTTTTCAAGATTTCATTACTTATGTATTATCTTTTATCTAAATGTTTATAATCTTTGCTGAATCATAAAAATAATAAAATCTATCATTTGATCAAAAGTAATTATCTAATTCCATATCAATATCCATTTCTTCGAGAAGAATTTCTTGATGCTATACTCGTTCATATCACTATCTTTTTTGCATGTCCATAAACGAAGGAAGTCACATCATTTTTGATGCGTAAGATGAGTCTCTAATTTTCACATGGCCTTGATTCTCTCATTCGAGTATACAAGATAATGCTCGCCTCCAATGTATTCTCTGGCGATAACTTCTCTGTGAAATTTTGAGGGAAGTGCATAAATATATTCTACGGGATCTTTCTTAGACGCAGGTATAAAACAGTTGTCTATAAATATATACGTGTCTCTCGGTAACCAAATACCGCCTTGTATCTTGTATGTTCCCATTTATTATAATAATATGATTCTCATTAATGATATGTTTATCCCGATTTTGATATTGTAAATGTGGCTTAGGATTCATGGTGAATTTTCCACGAGTTGTACGTCTATTATTTTTAGATTTGTTTTTGCGAGACATGATAGTATATTATTATTATATCAAAGTATAAAACATCAAAATCATGCGACATGAAAGTTTTTCCGTATATTTATGTCATTTTTATCAAAATGTTACACGTAATATATATAGGGGTATTATTAATTATTTATTAATCCAACAAATGTTTTGAGCGACGATCTCTGCAAAATACGTTACACTAGGGCTGCTGGCCATGGTACTGGTCCATTGAATCTATTAATGTAATAGTAACATTTTAACCATATTTAGTATTAATGATTTATTAATGGCACCAAAACTCGTTGGTCTCAATGACCCGGTCTATTTTCTAACACATGTTTTTTATATATGTAGCTAGTTACTGTACTTTTAAATTTGGTCAGAGAACCTCAGAACCGGTTTTTGCTAGAGAACCCCCCGTATATACCCATTTATAATAATTCTGTGAACAAAAACTAAGTAAAACTTCATCTCTATTTCTATAGTAAACAAAGACACAAAAAAATTATAGAATGTATTTTTATATTGTAAAAATTATTTCAAATATAAAAAATGAATTTAATATGAATTAATATATATTTTATTACTTTACTACTTTATTTAATAAAAATAAATATTTTTATCAAAGTCTTTTTTAGAAATTAATACTTATTAAATGATTCAAAAATCAATTTAACTCTAACAGCAAGGAAATCTTTCTTTTTTTTGACGGGATATCACCATCACCTAATTTACTTATTGAAATACGTCAAATCCACCCATATGAGTGAATCGAAAAGGTTTGAGATAATATAAAGTCAATTAATGTTTTAAAAGGTATCTCGGAACTTGTATGTTTCATAGAATTTATTGGGATTCTAAATTTTTTGTACATTGTATAATAATGAAATTCAAGATTACTCGATCAACTACTTTCATCATTGATAGAAGAGGCATGGGCGTGCTTCACAACCCGAAAACGTGGTCGGTTCATGGAAACAAACGTCAGTAATGCCAATCTTATTGTTGAGTAATTTTTGAGGCATGAGGTTAAAAGATATCAAGGCAAATTAGTATTCCAGCATCGAAGTTCATCACCACTTGAAAAATTGGCAAGCATATATTATGGAAAAGAAAATCAGACATGTTCCATTTCAGAAATGTAGACACTTATTCTCTCTCTTGTATATCCCCGGCACCTA